AATCAAATGGCATAGCATGCAAATGCTTGGAGACCAACAACCAAACAAGAATACTTAAAAAGCTGCAACCCACATAAAGGAACCAATTATTGTTTTGGCCAGCCATGCATGGCCCAATTGGCTTATTCATGCAAATTTACTGATAGAAAATCATCTATTCTGGGTAAAAAATGAAGAAATCAAACATGGATTTAAAAAAGGGCAGCTTTAGAGGAAACCCCTTCAGCCTTAACTGCATGGTCCAGTTAATGGCAAGTATTGTACCACAAAGAATGTCATAACTTATTGAAAAAGGAAAATTTTGTCTGTTAACTGGTTCTAATTTTTTCATTTATCAATGCTACGAAAAATTTGCTTTATTTCAACGCTTTAAAAAGGTGAATTTTTCGTAGCATTGATAAATGAAAAAAATTAGAAGAGGTCTGTACCTTACCTTTTAATATAAGTGTAATTCATGTTTTTTTCTTCTACTGTGACGTGGTATATCTTCTTAACAGACATAGAGATTTGAAAATATCGCTGCAGCAACAAATTACTTAATAGTATAGAGGAAAAGCAAAAAAATAATATATTTTTATGCAAAGCTTCTCCGACATGCGCACTAGACGTCTTACACAGGGATCCCAACATTTTTCTTTGCTTGTCTGCCCCTTATTCAATTCCTTTCTTTCTTGTTTAGATAGATAGATATATAAACTCTGATTAAAAATATATAAACTATAAAWCACAATACTGCGATGCTACATGATTGAAAAACTAGATATATATACCATATAGACAAAAAGTGGATAGAAAAAAAAAAATTATTTATAGCCCCCCTTCCTGAACTCCCCAAAAAAGAAAAAGAAATTAATAATGAGAATCCTTAATAATAAAAGAAGAATGAAAGTGGAAAAATGGACAGAGTTATAATTATAACTGGAATTAGTAAATGTAGGTTAACTAATGATAGAAGCAATATATATAGCGACTTTGTTGAATTTGAAACAGTTCCTTGATGTAATTCGGCCCACGCGTAGAGGCTAAGGCTTGGTGAACCAGGGACAGAGAATAATATGACCGACGACGTTCAAGAGTTTGTAACTTGACCAAGTGCAATAAAGCATCGTCGCATGGACAATCGTGAGGTACTTTGAAAACAGATCTTAAGCCAAAACAATTTGCTTTCTCAAGCTTATCACGCAAACCATTCG